GAGACAAACTCCGATAATAAGATATATCTTTATAACTCGATAACAATGGGTAACTTTCAACAAGTAAGTTACTGTATTGCGATAAATTTCGATAGCTCAATAAATAATGATCAACTATGGAATTAACACTCAATTTCAATTACTCAATCAACATAACTCGATAAATTTCGATAACTACACACATCGATGTCTTCACAAATGTTGATAACTGGATAACTTTCCATAACTAAATTTTTGATGACTGGTTATATTTCGATTCTTATCGAAAAACACTGAAAAAAAATTTTTTTCCTTAACTTTTTTTATATTCGTCGTTTTTATCATTTCTTTCTGCATATTCACATTTCATTTCAAATACGAAGTAAAACAAATTGCGAAAACCACTCAAATTGAACAGCCTGCAACAACGACAATACACAAATAGGAAAATTTTTTAACAATGATTTTGGCCGTAATTGTTAACCAATTTTTAAACCATAAACGCTGGTCTACAAGAAAGTACCTTTCCAATGGTGTGCTTGGTTTCGAAATTGGTCCAGTAGAATCGCCAAATGAACGACCGCAAAATTTATGTTAGCATATTTACATATATAAAGATCATTATGTGCAACACTAAATGTATCGATAAATGCGGAGTAATATTATATCGGAAAACATATAAAATACAATTAAAATATTCATATAACATAAAACATAAGAATTCAATGACACTACCAATAAGTGCACAGATAACATAATCGGTTATCGATTGATGCATCGATAATATATAGGATCGATCAAAATATTACTACTTTTGTGTGTCGATAATGTCTCAAACATTATAACAATAGTATGTAGTAGTATTAGTATTATTAGTAGAAGTCTTAGTAGTAGTTCTTAGAAGTGGTAGATATCTAAAAATACAGTTATCCATATCAGTAGTCGGTAAAAGATTTGTTGATAAGAATACCGGATATATGGATCTGAGAAAAATACAACTTCAACTGCATTTATTACACTTATGACTGTAGATGATTATTTGCATATACATACATATCTAGATATATACACCCATATACGAGAATACACGACAATTGTTTCACATACCGAGTGCATTAAAGTATTAGGACGTGTGCTATAAGTAATTTGTTGCTTTCTTTCTTTGTTTTTAGTTTATTTTTTGTTATTCACTCAGTACAACTCATACACAGAAACATACACGCACCCTTGCCGCCAAACAAAAACAATTTTCATTTCCATTTTCATTTTCATTTTCGCTCTACGTACAAACATATGTATGTATATTCCTGCTATTATTTTTTATGAGTTTTTATTGACGTCGGGTGCTCATTGTTTTCGCATACAGATATACATACATACGTACGTATGCATATATGTATGCAGTTATAAATGCACACGTATTTGTATGCCACTCTTAACGACCGCCAACACGCAAGCAATTCCTATTTCATACGAGTATGCATGACCCGACTGACACACACTGACGCTGCTGTGCCCAATATGTTTGTGATTGCTTTTTTGTTCGCAAAGATTCGTTTATCAATAACTTTTTCCTCTGCCCACACGCTTCAGTGAAAGTGTTGCAACTTTTATTTTGAAAGTAACATTTGTTTGACGCTGCGTATGAGTGACATTTTTAATGGTACTGACTTGAATAAAAAAGTCATGTGAGGGCCGAAAGTTCATTGAAGTTGCGTTCGTGAGGCAGCGAAAGCAAATTTCGAGGGGAACATACATTTCAATGAAACGTTTCTTCCATTTAGCTTCATACGTGCGTATATAAATATATACATATTTACTTATATAAAAATTTTAATTAAATTAAATCAAGGCTACATAATGTGTTTATGGTGGAAGCATATTTCTAACCTAACTCGAAATTTAAGATAATGGTTTCTTTCCAACAACGCCAAAGTTTTTACAATCAGATTTCATCGCAGATATATACAGTATTGAATATACATATATGTATATAGCACCCCCATTTCAAAATGATATTGTTTTCCACTCATTTTTATTTATTTATTTTTAGGAATTTTCAATTAAAATACAATTCAATATCTAACGAAACCCATATAAACCCAAGTTTAGAACTTTATTAAAGACTACAAACGAATGTAACATATTTTCACCCGAATTTCAATTTTTTTTCTCAGAAGTGTTAGAATTTTTTGAGTATACAGCCCATTCAATTTTAGTCTGATAATGTGCAAGTTTCAAGTGGATAAAAATTAACGTTGATTTTTTTTTTTAATTTTTTTGTCGCATTTTCTTCCACATAAACAATAAACACAATTTATTTTAAAAACAACTATGGAAATCCAAAGGCCTCTCAGCGATGTATTCTTTGTACTTCTGGGTTAACTGGACATTTCAGACCTATATAAATTTTGGTTTTTCAAATAAATATCATCAATTTATAAGCATTTTCATTCAACCACGGTTAGATTAGGATAGGTTTGGTTAAGCGTGCCGGGCTGAAAAGAGTTCACTCGGAGGCCACAAAGTCCAATTGCTATGGCCAGGGGTTTTTATCCCTTACCAACCCTTCATGGCTTTGAACCATCTTGATTCTCTAGCAAATCTTAGCAGTCCTTCCAGTATAGTTTTCCCCTTAGATATCTAGGCTCTCTAAGAAGTGGTCCCGCAGAAATTTTGAGGCGTTTTCCTCGGAATGCTGGGCACTCGCAGAGGGAGTGCTGCACAGATTCTATCTCCTCCTCATCTCTGCATAACCCGTTACACGGGGCTCTAAACCTGTCGGTTATGCGGTCAATGGTCCAGTTTTCCGTTAGTATTCCTATGAGTAGATCTTCCCTTAGTCGTTCCCGACCCTAAGGCTCTGATGGCAGCTTGACTGTCAATAACGAAGGCTAGTTTAGAGGGAGCAAGCTACAGCTTTGTTGCCTTGTCGTTTGCAAATATCTCAGAGTGGAAAACACCGCAAAGATTTGGAGTCTATAGGAGTCTCTCAGTGATAACTCTTGGGATAAGGCGCCAGTACCGATAGCCATTCTCGAACCGTCCGTGAAAATGGGTAATTTGTCATCGCTGAAAGCAATACTAAATTCCCTTAAGTCACTTCTGTCGACAAAATAGACATCGAAGTTTCGATTGAAATCTGTTTTCGTGACCTGATAATCGCAGCTACTTTACTTCACCCGCACTCTCTCAAGGATCGTGGCGTGACCCTTGCAAGTTATTTGCAGCCTGTTAGACGCCCTGAGTCTTAGAGCGTATAGGTCTATGGGTGGAATGTCCAGGAGTGTCTCTAGCGCCACCTGGGTCATTCAGGTAACCGCTCCCGTTGGACATAGGCATGCTTTTCGTTGCATCTTTTGCAGGTTGAGTAGATGGGATTTGGTGTCAACCGCAGGCGCATACCAGCGCGGCATAAATGAGAATAGGCCTAACTACAGCCGAATAAATCCAGTGTACTATTTGCGGTCGCAGCGCCAGTCTCTCCCAATCGTAGCTTTACAGGAGTAGAGTGCATTGAGCACTTTCTTTCCGTTCTTTGGTTTTACTTTGCCAGGAAAGTTTAGAGTCGAGAATAACCCCCAAAAACTTAGTCACTTTTGGTAACTTAAAATTGCTCCATTAAGGGACGGAGGTCGAAATTTTTCTACCTCATATCTATTGGTAAAGAGAACAAGTTCGGTTTTGGTGGAATTACCACCGGGTTCGTTTCTTCTGCCCACTCTGCCAGATTGTTAATTGCAGATTGTAGTATCTCGTTGACCGTCTAGAGGAATTTCTCCACAATGACTAAGTCACCCACATATGCAACGACCTTAGCAAACTTTCGATTTGCGGAGCAGGAATTCCACCGTAGGGGGTCAAAAAACCACCCCGTTTGATAGGAGCTACGTGCGGCTGTTTTTCTTCCTTCTGCTCTTCCCATATAGCTATAGATGCTCCTGGTACTCAATATATTGTCCATGGAGCAGTGTATGGATTCACTAAGTTCAGTTCTAAAAATGGCACGCCTATTTATGGGCCTTTTTTCGCCCACAGCAAAAATCTTTCCGAAGAAAAATTTTTACTGGATGGGTATTCTTTCGGAATCTGAAATAAGATTTACATTTGTTCGTAGAAACAAGATTTTTGACACCTTGCTGATTAATTATATGTGTGTATAAAAAAATATAATAAAATTCGATCGCCTCAATTTTCTTACAAAATTCTTAATTTAGCATTTTTTAAAAAGTAATCTTTTATCTTTCAGGCCAAGAGTACATAACGGTAAATATAGCACAACCATACAATTCGCACAACTCAACTGCAGTAACAGCGGCTTATCAATACATAGTATAAAGGAAAGTCGATATTCTTTGAACGGATTTTAGCGAGATTTTCTCTAGCATACTCTGTATGGCCTTTTTTACTTAGAATTTTAATAGGGTTGCCACTTGTCTAAAAAACTATAA